AAAGTCGAGCCGAAGTCAGTACCTCCAACAAAAAACAAAAGAAAGTCGACGTGTCAAACGCTGACAATAGGACTTCTCCTACTGAGAGGGGCAGAACTAAGCCCTACGGAGACCAAGGGGAGCTCCACCTCCACTAGGGGCTTGGTCGAAGCATCCCCAACACAAGTAGATGGGCTATCACAGTGGCTTCATCATCTCGGAGTAAAGGCATGGACTTCTTGGCGGTTAAGTGCATCTCCCCCCAACCCGACTTAAATGACCAACTATGGGCGAATGAGGGTTGTCTACGGGTCGGCCTCTTCGAGGTTGGAAGTAGTATATACTGTTCTTGTGTGGGTGCGACCTCAACACGAACATGGTGCGAAATAACTTTGGCGTTAGTTCCACGTCTCGAAGCCGAGCCACCACCAATAGGGCAACGATGGTCCTAAGGGCGTTAATGGAAAGTTTGCTAATGGTTATGGCATACCATCTCAACAACTCGAAGATGAGGGGATGGAGGCGAAATTTGAGGCTGAACTCTAGGAAATGCTGGTAGACATAAATTTCCCCCTCCTCCAATGCCCACGACCGATCACCAACATCTGGAACCCTACGTCTATAGGACCGAGGGATGTAATACCTCCTAGCCAGGGACTTCACCTGGTCGTAATCTAGGATGCTTTTGTTATGGACACGACACCCGGCAACACGCTGCGTCGCAATCACAGGCAGCAGCGCGCCTAGCGGCATGCACTGCCCGACAGCGCGCCGCGGTATAGGCTGCCTGGCAGCGCGCCGCGGTACAGTTTGCCAGCCGCACGCCTAGCGGCATGCACCGCCTGGCAGCGGCACGCACCGCACGGAAACAGCACTCGACAGCAGCACGCACCACACGGCAGCGACACACACCACACGACAGCAGCATGCACCCCACAGCAGCAGCAAGGAGAGACGTGCGCTAGCAGTAGAGCAGGGTCCATACGACAGCTCATCCCGGTGGGCCCACTCTTATCCGGCCACAGCAGCCTTGCTCGCCAACGCCAGCTGTACCTTTCCCTTATCCCCTATTTTTGTGTTTCCCTTAGTAGTAGGAGTTTGAATTTCGATAGAAGTTTAAGTTGCGATAAGAGAGGGACTACCTTAGCCAAATACAAGAAGGAAACCCTCTTGTAATCTCCTATTTAAGGAGCTGATTTCATTCAATAAAGGTATCGAATTTTCAGTCAAGAAAGAGAGCAAGGAGAGTTAGGTGATCTCTTGAACAAATCATCCCTTAGTCCGCCACTAGAGGGTCAACTCGCAAGGGCAAGGGCAAGGGAAGGCAAGGAGTTTTCCCCACAGACCTACCCGTGACGAGATCCTACATCCGAGCCCATAACATTTTGGTATCAGAGCCAAGCGTCATGGGCGACATGGAGCAGCTATCGTCCAAGGTTCATGAGCTGGAACACCGTCTCGTGGAAAATCACGCGGAGGTAAGAGAAGTTAAAGAGGACGTCAGGGAACTTCGGCGTCTACTGGAGTTATACTTCTCCACCAGGGAAGGGAGCCCTGAAGGGGCAGCCACTAACCACAGCCGCCACCCAGATCGAACAGAGGGACACCGACAGCAGCAATCATACCCAAATACAGTCGTCTGGAGTTCCCCTCATACAGCGGCAGCGGTGACCCACTTGGATGGCTGTATCATTGTGAGCAATTCTTCTGCAATCAGCACACGGAAGAGAAGGACAAGGTCAGCCTGGCAGCATTCCACTTGACCAATGAAGCACAGCTCTGGTTCTACCGAGTGGAGCAGGAAGAACCAGGCCTTAGTTGGGGCCAATTCAAGTCGTATTGCTTCCTCCGGTTCGGACCCCCGTTAACGAGCAACCCCTTGGGAGAGCTCATTAACCTCAAACAAATCGGGACCGTCGCGGAGTATCAGTGGTAGTTTCAAACTCTTCTCGCCAGAGCCTCGTCAGTTCGGCCAGACCAACAGGTGGATATGTTCACAGCTGGCCTATCTGAGCCTCTGAGAGTTGATGTGGAGATGCAGAGCCCACCCAACTTGGTCACGGCCATGAATCTGGCCCGAGCCTTCGAGCGCAAGCTGCAGATCAGCAGAGCGCCGTTCAGCAAGGAGCGTCCCGCAATGACTTGGGCGAATCCAAGGTCTACCGCAGGAGGGCCTTCGATGGCTGCCAACA